TTGAATCCAGACACAGTTTCATATGAAGAATTCAAAGACAGGCTTGAGAACATTGAAAAAGCAAATGAAGCTGTTGGAATTAAATGGCATACAGATACTAGAGATCAATTCTATCCTCAGAGTAACAAAGAAGACCATTGAAAAGACAGATGGAAGAAGAACAACCAGAGGAACTATAGGAATGACAATAAGAATCAACCAAAGGACAGGAATTACAATTATAATTGTAATAATTGTAACAGGCAGCACATACAGTCTAACAGTGTAAGTCCTAAAGAGAAAGACTGATCTAAGGACTACAAACCGAAGTACAAGGATACCAGGCAGAATAAGCAAGAGAACAGTAAGAAGACTTATTGTACAGGTGTGAAAAGGTATTCACAAGCTGAACTAGACAATATGAGAGCTAAAGGACAATGTTTTATCTGTAAACAGACTATGCATTTAGCTAAAGATTGTCCTACACACAGTACAGTAAAGCTGAACAGTGTTTCCAATACAAATATGTTGTCTAAGAGTGTTAATATCAATTATTCTGCTCTAGATAAGTTAACCAATACTTTGGAAGACAATAATTACTTGGATTTGAATCTTATAGCAGACAATACAATGGATCCATCATCTTCTACATTGTGAATACAATCTATGACTATTCAGATACATTATCCAGACAATAGTTATGAATCTACAACTCAGAAGAATGAGAATTACAATTCATTAGTTGGTTACAATACTATTTTGCAAGTATTTGGTCTAGAATGATTGGATTTGAAGCCACAAACCTCTTCTGACACTTCAGAATTGAAGATTCCCCTTGTAAATGCTGAACTTAGAAAGAGAAATCAGAGGAGAATGAGATTGATCTACAGAAATGGCTATTTCTACAGTGAATACAATGATACAGTATGTTTTGGAATTACTAGATGTCTTATGGAAGGAATTCTGTACTGTTTTGACTGGAAATGTAACAGAAGACTTTGGAATAAGTATCTATACAATCGATTCTATGTTTTCAGAAGTACAGATATACAGTTTATGATCATAGACAATTGGGAGAATGGAAATGAGTACACATTACCTATTAAGATTGCTTTTCTGAACAGATTTGATGTTAGAGAATAGTATTCTCTACTCAGACAAGCTCAATATTCAGCCAAATATGTTTACAATCATTAGGAACTATTAGAGATAGAGGATATCTTTAATCCTGAATTGTTTGAGCCAATGTATTCAGTTGCAAGCATGGAAAACATTGACTCACATCCCATATCTAGAAATAGAGCATATATGTATGATTTACCTGTACAAATCCACACTATGACTGCTAACTTCAATGATTTTAATACAATTGAGCATACTACAGCTTATGCTAAGGACTTTAAGAGATCAATACCATGTCCTATCATAATTACAATCAAAATCAATAGAGAATTAGTAAGAGCATTAATTGATTCAGGATCATTAGCAGATTTCATGTCCACCAAGTTTGCAGATCAAATAGGCGTTAGGAAACTTGCATTAGCCAAACCTCTACCTATACAATTGGCAGTACAAGGCTCTAGATCAAAAGTAAACTATTGTACCAATGCTAGAATACAATATAGAGAGATAAACACAATACAGCACTTTGATATCATGAATTTGGATAACTATGATATTATACTAGGAATGCTGTTCCTCTTCCAACACAGGATTTCTATCAGTTTCAATGAGTCTAGACTATGGATTGAAAGTGCAATACCTCTACCAATAACAGGAGAACAAGTCACAGTCGTTTCATCAAAGGTTATTAATACTTATGATTGAGAAATTAACAGATGCAGACAAGAAATCAAGCAATACACTGTGGATTTGTTTAAAGACGCTTCAGAAACGCTACTACCACCTCTAAGAGCCATTAATCATAGTATACCACTCATAGATGAGGATAAGAAATACAAGTTCTGTAGGGCAACTTGTCTGGATCCTTTGAGAGAGCAATGGCAAAACAAGAGAAAGGACTATATTCAATCAGGAAGATGGAAAGTAGTTACAGGATCAAACACAATGCTTATGCTACTACTTCAAAAGCTTAGAAAGACCAAGGAAGACCCTATACAATTGAGAACTGTCATTGATCTTAGAGAGCACAACAAGAATACTAAGAAACTATCATCTCCTTTACCAGATATTGAATCAGTATTAAGGAGAGTTGCTTCCAAGAAGTATAAATCACTCATTGATGGCAAAGATGCATATGAACAGATTAGAATAATCCCTGAGCATGTAAACAGATTGATATTCAACACTCTGGATGGAACAATGGTTAGTGAAGTAATACAATTAGGTGATTGTAATAGTAGAGCCACCTATCAAGCATTAATGAACCACATTTTCCAGCCTTACTTGGGTGACTGGATGGATATCTACCTAGATGACTTAGTGATTTATTCAGACACGATTGAAGATCATATGCAACATCTCAGAACTGTCATTGATATATTGTGCAAGGAGAAATTCTACCTTAGTGAACATAAGATACAATTGTTCCAGAAAGAACTGAAGATACTAGGCCACATTATCAATGATCAAGGCATTAGAATAGACCCTCATAAAGTCGATTCTATTCAACAATGGAAAGTACCTACTAATAAAGATTTGTTACAAGGTTTCTTAGGATCAGTAGGGTATTTAGCACTCAATATACCTCAGTTACACATTTCTACAAGTATTTTATCAAAGATTGTAGGAGAAACTGTATTTTTCAGATGGACATTCACTGAACAGTGAGCATTTGATCAAATAGTAAAGCTAGTATCAGATTTCAGGCATAATCACAGGATAGTATTGGACTACAGTAAGAATGTGCTACCTATCAACATTGTTACAGACACTTCAGCTTTAGGAATTGGAG